CCCCACGTCAATAACAAGACCAAAATCTACCCAAACAGGGCTGGGAACACCTCCGTAAAAGCGGTAACAATGTATTTATAGCCTAATGTAGTGACCGCACGACGCAGCGGGTGTAGTGTTGTGTGAGGGCAGGACACGACACTTGAGTACGCTAAATGTGGGCGGGTCAAGTCTAGGATTCATAAAGATTCGTACGATAAATGTTCCTAGTGACTGAAAATACAAAGTGCACATAACTGGTTGATTTAAACTTAAAATATATTAACGTCCAAAAATAACATCAAAATTATACTCTTGAATACCTTAACTATTACATACATTCACGTATCACAAGTTAAGGGGACAAAGTTAAGGTAGATAATCTTTTGGTAAGATACTAAACTCAAATATAATCAGGTGCTAAGTTAATGTAACTAGGTAGTCTCAGGTCCAACTATTAATTTTATTCTGTTATTTGGATGTTATGTTTGTTTTAACTGAAGGCAACCCATCAGGTGCGTTCTTACATCATCAATTACGAGCCTTGAGAATCAGGACATGGCCTTGTACAACCATGTAAAGTTTTATAATAGTGAATCAATTTAACCCGGATGATACCCAACATCTGTTTCATCTTATTGATTTTAATCGTTCATATAATCTTTGGAGGAAACGTTACCTTACACCCAGTTATTGTCAAGTGAGGGAGGAACACATCATTTAGTGGTGGGTGTATGAGGGTAGGGAGTCGTGACCAGCGGTAACCTAGTCGGTGGTGTTGGCATTCCTGGCCTGCCATATATGTTCCCGCGCCTCTCCCTCACTCAGGAACGCCTCTCTCTCTCTTCCTATTGTCTCACTTATTTCTTTTCACCCTATTTTGTTTATTCCTTACTTGTTATTTTATTGTTTATCGATGCCTTTCAATAATTCTCACTACTTTTGGGGATGCTGTGAGCTCAAATGTTTGTTCCTTGTGTTTGAACGAAGGACCTGACGGGGCTGTCTTCGGCTATGTGAGTTGGTAGATAGGTACTGTAGTTGTTTTCTGTAAAGTCGTCATACAAATATTCATTGAGTCATAGACAGGCCAGGAATATAAAAAAATGACGGTATATAAACAATAACAAACATTAAGTCGATTCCGCCAAGAATAGCACAAGTCGGTCGCTTTTTCATCACCGTCAAAACAAACTCCCTCTCTGACCCGGAACTCGGTCTGGAAATATCCATATTAGGTAAAGGGGGTTTGGTTAAGGAAAGGTTGTTGACTGGGGTCAGGTTCAGTTCCGTTCTAGGTTAAAATTCGGGTATAGTACTGTATGATGATGCCTGTACAATGACTTAATGATGCGATGAAGGGAAGGGAACGGCTGTGTGTGTGTGTGTGTGTGTGTGTGTGTGTGTGTGTGTGGCATCATCAGACACAACCACAGTAAACTGGATAACTACTGTCACCTGTGTCGAAATTACTCTCATCATTGTAATTATTAATCTCTTGTGCAATTTTATTTAATCTTTGGGCATATGAGTTAAAAATAAGATTATCTTTAATTCGAAATGTGCTTTTATATAGTCTTTGTGTGTGGGTGGTGTTAGGGTGGTGTCGAGTGGTTTGTAACAGATGGGTTGGGTGTTGACATTTTATCTTATCACCCTCGTCCGTGTACCTGAGGTGGATCAAGGGATACAGATGCCTTAAAGAATAGTACTGTAATTGTATCTTCGTAGGGCGCCGATTCACACAGGTTCTTACGATGAACATTCCTCGTTACTGAAAACATGAATAACACAGAAATTATACTGAGCCTTTAAGCTTACATTACCCAGTTAACGTTCTCTTATCACCAGACGAAAGTAATGTACAGAATCGTTTGAAAATATATATTTTTTAATGTTTGCCAAGTGACCTTATATAGATATGGTACTATAGAGCTTGTCCAATCTACTGTAGTGACTTTTTGTTTGAGATAGACAGGTAGAGACGGATAATTTATTCTGTAAAGTCGTCATACAGTTAGTTTCGTTCTTACATCTTCATTTACAAGAAATATTCATGACAAGAACACTCGAGAATCGTGTCCAAAAGTGGTGAAGGTGTTGAGTGTAGCAACAAGAACCCGTTCAGTACTTCCTTCATTCCTGAGGGCCACGTTAAACATTCCCCACCGCAGAGATACCATCACCCCGCCCGCCTGGCTCACTCCCCGTCACGTGATCGCTTCCCGCCAAAACTCGAGCTACACAACCCATTCCAGCCATTTATCTTTTAAAAACATTTGTTCAATTGTTGTTGGAAACACTTAAAAACGTTTAATAACATCTAGCTGACGGTGTAAATAATAGTGGTACTTGTAACACCTAAAAAAACAACTGTTCCACTGATTGAATATAATTTTTTTTCCAACCTTTCTGCGGGGGAGGGAGGCGGGGGGTGGGTCTAAGAAATGTTAACATGATATCTGGATGCCTGTTGGAGTCCCCATCTTTGACAGTGTTACCTTTTAAGTGGATCTCTTGGACGGGTTCACTGATTGACATCTTCGCTCTATTTAGTTGAGTTATGGCCGCTCTCATCTCCCCGCGCAGTGATGCTCCCGGCTTTAACTGGACAACTGGAACACAGCAACGGATTGTGATGGAACTTCGTGTACTCATATAACCTACAAGACCTTAGATGAGTTTGGTAATCAGTATTTTGCTTCATAGTTTGGCGAGTTATGGTGGGCTTATGGTCTTCTTCGGGGATTTCAATAGAACTTATCTATTACGGAAGGAACCGCAGGAGGATTGATAAGGAGTTTTATATTTATGTTAAGGGAGGTGTAGGGCAGGATAATTTATTACTTAATTGTGTAAAAGGAGTTAAGGGTTTAATATGAAGTTTTGTATTTACTTTAAAGTGCTCAAAAATCTCACGGGGCCACACCTTAGATTCCCTTATATGTGTGCGCCTACCTACCTACCTACCTACCTACCTACCTACCTGCTGCTGCTTGAGGGTGTGTGATTCATGTACCCAGGGTGATTGGTGGTGGTTATCAGCTGATCGGTTAGTTTATCAGTGCTCTTGTTGCTGCGTTTTAGGTCGCTCAGCTGATAGTAATGTTTACATCGCTTATACTCTTTATCTTGTCAGCCTCCGCATGCATTATTCACCTCTTGGTTTATTCTTGGTGTCCAACGATTATGAGATATCAGAGGCGAGGGCGATGTCCTATAAGAGTATAAAGCCCTGCTATTGTATATTAAGAGGATGAAACCTGGACATACATACACACAATCATATACGCTACATGTACAGTATATAATGAGAATTGATTTCACGTGGAGATGTAGCAGCAACGTTGATTCATAGTGATGCAATAAAGTATATAGCATTGTTGTCTGTAAGGGTATACTACTAAATCATTGAAACTGTATAGAAGCCTGTAAAATAAACTGATCTGTACTCGACCAGGTTTCAAGCTTCAGATAATTATAAACTATAGGTCTGAGTTTCTAGTTATAGGCACCAGAGAGACAAGTTACAGGCTCCAAGTTACAGACAGGATACAGTACAGGCACTAGACACAATACAGGCAGTAATTTACAGCCACGAGTCAGGAGTTACAGGCTCGTAGGTACAAGGTACAGTGCCTGGGTCAGTGGGAGAAGATTACAGTATTAGGTATTCAAAGTGGCTCCCTCAGACGTGAACTTTGGGCCTCAGTCTGATAGTGTGTGGTGGGCAGGTGGTGAGGACAGGTTGTGGTAGTTGTGGTGGGTGGTAGTGGGCAGGGACCAGAAAGCGAGCATCAAGTGCTTCGTCATGGGCGCCGTTGCCCAACATACCAGTCAGTTCTGGCCTGACCCGCGTGGCCACTTGTCCCAGGAGTCATAGAGGCGTCCTGAGTCTTCTTAGTTTGAGGGAGGGCGAGACGTGAGGTGTTGGTGGTGACCAGTAAGGGTTGTCGAGGGTGTGGTGGTGACTACACCATCACGCAATCCCCTACCATCAACACACAACCTTCCCTACCACCATCGTGTGTTACCTTTACTCCCTGCACCTGTCTGACCCCCTGCTGGGTCTCCAAGATGTGTGATTTGGTAAATAGGGTGAGGTGGCAGTCATCTGCGGTGGGTTTGGGTGAATGGGCCTGTAGTTAGGGTAAGTGGGCCGGTATTTATGGTGAGTGGGTCACTATCTAGGATGGGTTAGGGTGAGGGGGCAACAAGGGTGGTTTAGGGCGAGTTCCCGTCGCTAAGTCTCCCCTCCTATCACGACATTTTGAGATTACTGTGTATGTATTACTTAAGGAAACAATATGTCACGTAAGACTATGAAATTGATAATAACGACGATGATGGTAAAATAATGATAATAAAAAGAGTTCACGGTTGCGGCTCAAATATTGGTCCAGCTCGTATTTCTCGGTGCTTTTCAAATTAAGGAGTTTCCGGTGTCGAGGGAAGAGACTGACAGTGTAACTATTTTATAATTTTTTTATTATGCATTCGATCGCATATTTCTCTGCCGAGAAAATATATATATTTTTTTCGATAACTTAAAGCCTTCCCCATCCTCCTCCTTCCTCATCCTCCTCCTTCCTCATCCTCCTCCTTCCTCATCCTTCCTCATCCTCCTTCTCAACTGGCTCAGCCATGTTAGTATTGTTATTATTATCCACTCTGTATCTGTATTTTTCTGGCTAAATATACTGTTACAATTCCTCCTCCCTCTCTCCCTTCCTCCCAGACCAAACACCAGACAGGAGAAGTACTGTACTGTATATCCCCGACTAGGCCTAAAAATAGGTGCCAAGCTAATTCTCATGTTTCTCATATTTGTTCGTCCACCTCTACAGTCTTGATTAGGCATTTGACTGGTTATACGTCTTTGCCTTCGAGTTGAAAAAAGAGAAGAAGTGGAAGAGAGAAGAAAGAAGTGGAAGAAGAAAGAAGATACATCTAACTTTACGAAGAAAATAGAAGGCAAGAGTGAACGATGCATAGTGGAGGAGGCGAGTGACAGGAAATTGGGTTGGGTACGGTCAAGTGGTGAGGCTGAGGAGGCTGGTTGGCTGAGCAGAGGCCTGGGTACTTGCTTGGGTAGTGTGGGAGTGACGGTCGTGGGTGTTGGTCGTTAGCTGCTCTTGTCCTGAAGTTGTCTTCCTCGTAAACAGGTAATATATAACTAAAATCAAAGTCATAAAAGATATTGGAGGAATTTTTTAGGTATTTCTAGTAATATTTTAGATGATTGTTGAAATGTGTGTAGGTATGTTGGGAGTGTTCTGTTAGGCTTCTTTGTCCTTTGTGACTTCATGCTCACGTTACACTCGTTCTTGGAATCTTGGGAAGGGAAAGAGCTGGCGAGGTGGTGAATTATTTTCGATTGCCTACAAGACGAATCGAGCCAAACCTAACTTAACCAACGTGATGTGACCTAACGAACTTAATTTATTTTTTTTGTGGGGGTAAGTTTCGTTAGTTGTTGTATTCAGTTAAAAATGGTTTCAATGACGTCGTTTATTGTGCTCCTCGTCACCTCAGGATTCCAAAGATTGTGGGTAACGGGAATCAATAGGCCATAAAGATAAGACGAGGGGTGGCGGAACTCACAACGCAACACACACAACGCAACACTCATAACGCAACACTCATAACTCAATACATCTGCTCACACACACATTTCAACATAGCACAGACACCTCGATCACTGTGTTTGGTGTTAGAGGATGATTTATCGTCACTGGAAGGATTGTCTCGGTGTTATCAGTTGGTTCAGCCTTAAGTTAGGATTACCCATCTTTGAACCAGAATAGATCTTGGTGTAAAAAGGAACTACCCGCAGGCCGGATATTGTCCACCCCTGCTCTTGGACATGTGTAGTGGTGATGGTAGGAACAATGATTCCTCAAGGACATGTGGTGGTAGGAATAAGGGTCTCTTACTTAAGACATGTGTAGTGGTGGTGGCAGGAACAAGGATATCTTGGGACACGTGTTGTGGTGGTAGGAACAAGGATTCCTCTAGGACATGTGTTGTGGTGATGGTAGGAACAAGGATCTTTAGGAGACGTGTAGGTGATATTGGTACTTCGAGGTTTACTGTGGTGACTGACGGCGTTTTTGGCTTCAACAGGTGAAATAAAAGCGATGCCGAAGAAGGGTGAATGTGGGGTGTGCTTCACGAAGTACAAGGAGGGTGATGTGGAACTCTGCCCCCTCGCTTGCGGCCACATCCTATGCAGCTCCTGCACCACGACCCTGATCCAAAAGTCCTCCAACGCCATCGTCTGCCCCTTCTGCCAGGGAACCAAAACCATTGCCCTCATCTGCGACGACGCGAACACCGCCGCCCAAAGTCGCAAGCCTGATAAGAAGAAGGTTTTGAACCGTCCCGTTTTCTTGAAGAGTCATCCCAATGTGTGTCTCATCCAGAGTAGCAGCGAACCCACCCTCACCGTCCTATCTGTTACCCCGGGAGGTTTTGCCGTCAAGAGCCACACCGAGCTCCCGATGAAGTCCACCAAGAAGAAGAAGTAAGCATGTTCCTTCCTGCGGTGATGTTCTGTGTCCGTGATCACGTGTCTTCCATCTGTCCTTCAATAGGTTTCTTCCATGTGTCCGTGATTATGTATCTGCCATACTTGACAGTGTAGTGATAATGTCTGACTCACAACGTATCTGAATGTCGCCCGTCTGGTGGTGGTATTGCTGCTTCGGAATAAAATTTACTTTAATATTTCCTTTTGTCTCTCCTGACATTGTTGTATGCGAGTGAAAATATAATATAGACGTCGATTAATTGGAGAAATGTGAGAGAATAATAAAATATTGAAGATAATGATAACATTTTCGATTTATGGTCGAAAGTGGGGTACATATGCCATTGAATCTCTGATAATAATGCACAGTTACATAATTAAGGTCTCAATCCCTTTTAACATACAAGACCCTCAAATTGATGATGTGTAATGATGCAAAGTGTCCAGGAAATCTTGTCTAGTACTGTAAGAGGCAGTGTAGCAAGGTTCAAATAGTAATAGTCATCACATAAGATCTTCCTTAGTGATGAAAATATTGAAGGTAAGGGTTTAGCGGCAGGTGGAGCTTCATAAAGATGTACAGTACACCTAACAAAGTCTTGGTTTGTAAGTAATTGGTATTCATCTCTTTAATATCCATTTTTTTTCAAAATTTTTTCTTTATTTTTTTTTACAGTAATATGATACAGAAAGTAGCCTGAGAGCTGTGCGGTAATACAGTCCATTAACTTTGGCGTCGAGTTGTTGTGTGGGGAAGGACATGGCAGCGATGGGTGACTGGTCTGTGAGAAGCGACAGGGTCCAACCAGATGGCTATTTGGGGCCTTATTGTGGAAGATGAATGCCATAATAGGATACATCTTTTACACCAGTGTTGCTGTTTAGTTGTTTTTTATACATAGGTGACACACAAGTGTTAAAAAAGGGTACCACTCGTTTCTGGAAGGAGTGAGTTAATTTTGGCAGTCAGAGGTTCTAAATGACGAACAAAGGATAGCCAAAGCATAGGTCCTCCCAACACACGTGTTCTCATGAGTTACTGTGTGTCCTTTACTCCCCACTCCTCTCAATTCTACTCCTGGCACCTCTATCCTCCCCTTCTCCCTGACCCTCTCCCTCCCCCCCTGTCAGCTGGTCGACCCGTTGGACCACAACCCCGCCCATATCCTCCTCGTTTTTATCTGTGTGTGTGTGTGTGTGTGTGTTTAAGGGAGTGTTGATGTAGCTAGTTTGTACTTCCCACGATATTGTCTTATCGGTGAACCAAACTTGTGGTAGGGTAGTAGTGTGTGGGTGAGCTGGGTGTTGTTCCCACGACACTTGCCACTTGGTGTTAATCTGATAGTCCCTCCAGTGTCACGGTTCGCTCGCCTGGCAATCGTGGCACCCAACACTCCCAATGCCACCTTTTGTCACTTTTGTGGGCACCTGTCACTGCACTTGACAAACGCAGGCATCGTTATCAGGTTGTCAATGGCTGTAAGCTCATTTAACACTTACAGCTTACTCCCGCGTCACTTTGAGCCCTCATGCACTTCCCTAACAGCCCTCACCGCCACCCTAACATCTCTAAATCACGCCTCCTAGAACCTTCACGCACGCCCCTTACAGCCCTCACGCACTCCTCATAGCCCTCACGTCCTCCCCGCCCCCACACACAGGCGCTGGCAAGACATACGACCTCCCACATGTACCTCAATTATCCCGAGATTTATGCTTTGTTTACACGGGTCAGCTGACGGGGCACTTTATTTACATGAATCAGCTGATGCGTTCATTGTTTACGGGGGGATCAGCTGACTCACTGGGTGGTAAGTCTCCTCACAAGATTAAAAAAAAAACTTGGAGGTTGAGTCATATTTGTGTTAAATGGTTATTGGGTTTAAGATGGAATGGAAGCGAGGAAGAAATAGGAGGGATACAACTAATTAGACGAAGAGAGGAAAGGAAAAGCAGACAATGAACGAAGAAGAAAGGAGAAGAGTGGAAGAGAGGATGTAGGGAAGGGAGAGAGAAGAGGAGATAGGGAAGAAGAGTAAATGTGGATGAAGAGGGAGGGAATGGGCTTAGTAGAGGAGGAGGAGGAGGACACTGATGGTGGTGATAACGCCAACACCACCCTCCCTCCCTCCCTCCCCGGTAAGCCTTTCCCTCCACCATACAACCTTTTTCCCTCCTTCATCCCCTATCTCTCATCTTCTCTCCCCCCTCCTTCCTTCATTCTTCCCTCTCATCTTTCCCCCCTTCCCTCCTTCCCTCCCTGATAACCCTTTCCCTCCACCATACAACCTACCTCCTTCATTTATCTCTAAACTCTTATCTTCTCTTCATCCCTCCCTCACTGTTCTCTCATCTTTCCCTCCCTCCCCCCTCTCTCTTTCTCTTTCCACCTTCTTACATCTCTACCACTTATCACTAGCAATGGCTATTTACTCTCCCCCATTTCCTTATCTCCTTGTTACTTCTCACTTCTTGTATATCATCTTCCTATCTCCCTGAGTTTGTTTCGTCCTGTGTCCTGCCTATCGCTACTACCACCACCACCACCACCACCACCACTTACTCGTAGAGGAAGAGGCCGAGGGTGGTAGAAAAACCTCCCGCTGAGGGACCTTGTTTAGACACCAGTGTTAATAGGTCGACCGACACACACATTGTCCCACAAATCCCGCCACCTCTCTCAGGTAGGCCAAGGTATTACTGAACTCCGCTACTGGTTTATATCTCTAGGATGAACGTCGACATCTTTTACCTCAGAGACCCATATTTTATTAAGCATCGTTAAACTCAACCCATTATAGATTATTTAGCGATTATTAAGTATATATATATATTTTTTTGACACAGTCTTTCTCTAAATCCATCAACCTGTCTCTTTCTGATAAGCCTACTGCATAAGCAGTTTTAAGCCGCGTCTCTTTTGTTTTTATTGGACAAACAACGAAAACTTCCCACCTAAAGACCCGTGTGTGTGTCAGGACGGTTGCCAGAACAGCTTTATGGTCGTCGTAAAGAAGAAAAATATGAGAATACAAATGACTGTATGTTTATGGTAATGAGAGTGGTTGCAGGTCAAATGGTCCCCAGTTCCTATTGGTCCCGAAGCTCCCACTGCCCCCACCGTGTCTTCAATAGCTCAGTGGTTAAGTGGACTCCAACCATAATTTAACTCAATTCAGCTCTACCTAAATCCTCTTAACTCCGCTCAGCTACCAACATCAGACCACCTCTCTCCTGAATGGGTAAATGGACCAAACCAAACCGAACCTAACCAGAACTAACCATTAGAATTGAGGAAGTAAAGTGTTGTTAAGTCTTATCTCGGGATAATAAATATAAAGTTACAATAAGTTTTAGAAGAGACAGTCAGCTGTTTTGATATTACTCTTTTGTTAGTCGGTTACATTTTAGGGTCTTTGTACTTCAGTTTAATTAAAAGTATTTATTTTTTTTTAGGTTAATCTGAAATATAGTAGAGTCATCGCTCGTATGGGCCGGAAATGTGTTTGTGATTATTTTTCTTCTACCGCCTTGTGATATTTTGGGTAAGAAATGCCTTATTGTGGTCTTGTTATAGTGTGTCTTAAACTTCAATCTACGTTTCTATGACAGCACTGATCCTCTATGGTAGTGTCCCCCATACCCTGGTCGGCCGTGGCAGTACCATGGTAGGTAGGACAGCCAGCAGGGGACGACAGAGGACCCCTGGGGACACATTAGCATAGTGAGGAGGGTAATGGTGATGGTAGTACCCGCGTGTATTGTTGTGTTATTGCTCTCTCTTACGACCTGTGCTCTTATCTGTCCTCTGCATCTGTTCGTCTTACCTACATTCATTTCCATCCTCTGTACATTTCCTCTTTCTCACCCACCCCCTTCTCCCCCCCCCCACAACAAACACATCCCTACTACACCCAGGCTACCCCCTACAAGCACATCTCTATACCTTCATCGTTCCACAAACACATTCATGCACCCTCGCTTTCCACAGAACACATCTAAATTCATTTAAGGACACACACAGACACACACACACACACACACTTTGACAATCAGATAATCATTATTAGTCCGGCGTTATCAGACGAAGCATTATTAAGTGAAGGCTGCCTGACTACCCCAGACACAGGGTAATGATGGCGACCTACCCATACCTGCCTGGTGGATCTCTGGACCAATATTTGGGTAACAACAAGATCACTTACCGTGGGAGTCCCAGTGACCTGCTGCTCTCTATGTTGGATGTGAACGTTGGTTGCTAAGGTTTGCGTATTCCATAAAAAAACGTTGGCTATTATTTACATCTGGTACGTTAGTTGATAATGTTAACCAGTATGTATTTATTTATCATATCCACAAAGGTTTCCAAGAAGAAGTGTGATTAAGTTTTCGCCCTAAGAATGATTTAATTTTTCAGGAATTCAAGAGTGCCGTCACCACCCTTCACGGGCCTATGATGGCACTTACCCCTACGTTTTTGTTTTGTTTTTCCAACCAGAGTGAACTGTGACGTCAACGTGAATTAGTTTTTATTGATCACCTCTTACAGGTTACAGTACAGGTATTATGTTTGTGGTCTGTAATGACAAGTTATGTTTTGGCGGGAAAGTTTGTATTTTTCGAAGTATAATAGTTTTAGTGGGTATAAATCAGAAAGTAATTACCCTCGCTCTTTACCCCGAGCCGTTAGTCGTCTGTGGTAGTAGTGGTGTGAGGTTAAGGGTAGTGGTGGTGTGAGGATAAGGGTAGTGGTGGTGTGAGGTTAAGGGTAGTGGTGGTGTGAGGATAAGGGTAGTAGTGGTGTGAGGTTAAGGGTAGTGGTGGTGTGAGGTTAAGGGTAGTGGTGGTGTGAGGTTAAGGGTAGTGGTGGTGTGAGGTTAAGGGTAGTGGTGGTGTGAGGTTAAGGGTAGTGGTGGTGTGAGGTTAGGGTAGTAGTGGTGTGAGGTTAAGGGTAGTGGTGGTGTGAGGATAAGGGTAGTGGTGGTGTGAGGTTAAGGGTAGTGGTGGTGTGAGGATAAGGGTAGTAGTGGTGTGAGGTTAAGGGTAGTGGTGGTGTGAGGTTAAGGGTAGTGGTGGTGTGAGGTTAAGGGTAGTGGTGGTGTGAGGTTAAGGGTAGTGGTGGTGTGAGGTTAAGAATGGAGGTAACAGCCGGCCGCAGTACCGCCACCATCCATCACCAGACGACGTGACCAGGC